GTATTCGTTTAACAGCATCCATGTGGTGGGGTGTATCGTATTTTATTCATATCTTTTGTTGGGTCCCTAATGTCATCGCTCTAAACATTTAATCGTACTCACTGATATAACTAGACACATCTGCCGCTTGTTTTAATTACTCTCTTTTCTATTTACAGATGGGTGATTGCGCACGTGCTCGTAGGTGCGTCTTCTGCCTGTGTCAAATCTGTGGGAACTACTGCCTGCCTCGTAACTTCAAGAGCACTGTTCACGGACCATGACTGTACTGCGTGTATGCTTGCTGAAGTTGGCGCCACTGGTTTTGGCACGACTCGATGAAAAGGTTAGTGAACTCGGTTTTCATCTGTTTCTGCAACTAGAGTAGGGGCTAATATATACGATATATATTGTAATTGGGGGGCGGGGGGAAGGGTGTTGTTTATTTATTTATCTTTACTTTCCTGATTGTGGAAAACTATATTTAGTTTTGAAACGGTTGCCTTTATCTTGGGCATGACGGCCTCGCGTACAAACCTCTTCTGCTTCGTAACGAATTCGATAAGTTGGTGAGTGTCTTTAATCTTTTCCCTAGTTTTTGCAAAAGCCCGGGGTGTTGATAAATCTCTGCGACGAGAGAAGGACGTCTTAGTATGGCTTTAAAATGGTTTCTTGCGTTTTGGGCAGCATGGCCTCACAGTCATCCCTCTTTTGCTTCGCAACGCCTTGACAGTTTAAGCACCTTTTTATCGGGAGGACCGGTGATCTTGAGGGCCGCAGGGTATTTTTTTTTTTTTAACCTTAGTTGGTCAATCACTTGTTTCTTATTTCTCCTTTTAATTTTTTTTTTCGGAATCGTTATCTGTTAATATGATTCGATAATAACGTTTAGGAAGTGGATATGTTACAGCGCTTTCTTTCATGGCATTCTTATTTGGGCACATTTGACATCAAGTGGTTTGTTGGTGAACGGGGTAAGGGATCTGTATATGCAGCTTTTTAGACCGTGCTAAGTCGAGTCAGCTAGGGATGGGGTTAGGATGCCAAAAGATCTTGATTGCTGCGAACTAAACCAGCGATTGCTTTGTATCTATTGTAATTGTTTTCTAGCAAAGTTTGATTATACTTGGGATTTTTTTTTTTTTTTTAATACTTTGTAAAGGTGGATTCATAGTTCACATGAGACGAGCGTGATTTTCACGCCACCAGCGTGAAAAGAATAGGTTTTAGTTAGCAGTTGACGCAGTTGACTTGATGCAATAGCCGATAACAGGCCGCCGTGTGGCTATGCTATTGGGTACTCCGAGGCTCGGCTAGACCGGAAGGAGAAGAAAGAAACTAGCCGGGCGCAGGGAGGAGCGGGGCAGGGTAAGGGCAGTACCCTGCTCCTCTCCGCGCCCGACCGGCCCGACGATTTTTGTTCTATTCTTTTCAGCTAAATCAGCTTGAGAGCTAGCGTGACTTTTCACCCTTCCGCCGTGAATTTCAGGCAAGCGCCTGCTAGCAGCGTGATTTTCATGCAAGCGTCTGAAAGCAGCGTGATTTTCATGGGAGCGGCTGCTAGCAGCGTGATAATCAGTCCGGAAGCGTGAAAATCACGCTAGCTCTAAAGTTGATTCGGCTAAAAAGAATGGCATAGCCCCACGGCGGCTTGTTGTTGGCTGTTGCATAAAGTCCACTGTTACCAAAACAACTCTACTTACGCTCGCGGCGTGAAAATCACGCTCGGATCTTGTGGACTTTGTCTCCACCTTTACCTATAGTTTGCATTATCGTTTTGGTCGTTGGTTCTGTTGTCATTAGTGAGTTGTTTGATTTAGCTTCAAGTTTGGGATTCACAGATATTTTCCGAGTATTCGTTTAACAGCATCAATGTGGTTGGGTGTATCGTATTTTATTCATATCTTATGTTGGGTCCCTAATGTTATCGCTCTAAACATTTAATCGTACTCACTGATATAACTAGACACATCTGCCGGTTGTTTTAATTTCTCTCTTTTCTAGTTTCAGATGGGTGATTGCGCACGTGCACGTAGGCGCGTCTTCTGCCTGTGTCAAATCTGTGGGAACTACTGCCTGCCTCGTAACTTCAAGGGCACCGTTCACGGACCATGACTATACTGCGTATATGCTTGCTGAAGTTGGCGCCACTGGTTTCGGCACGACTCGATGAATGGGTTAGTGAACTCGGTTTTCATCTGTTGTTTCTGCAACTAGAGTAGGGGCTAATATATACGATATATATTGTAATTTGAGGGCGGGAGGAAGGGTGTACTTTATTTATTTATCTTTCCTTTCCTGATTATGGAAATCTATATTTGGTTTTGAAACGGTTGCCTTTATCTTGGGCATTACGGCCTCGCGTACAAACCTCTTCTGCTTCGTAACGTCTTACACGTAGCTTTAGGTCAGCTTAAGTCCTTTTTATCGGGATTGCCCAGGGCCTTGGAAGCCTAAGGGTAATATTCTAACTCAGTTGCTCAGTCAGATATGTCGGATTTCCCCTCTCTATTTTTTCTGTAATGCCTGACTTCGGTTGAACCACCCAGCTCTTGGGGATCAAAATTTGGGTGCAGAAAAATGATGTGGGTGGTGTTTGACACGCCTGTAGGGCTCTTTGCCGCTTCGAGAGCCCTTGTGAGCCGCCTGATCTCTCACTAGGAGGTCGAGCACCTGCGCGTCCTGTACGTTTCTCTGCACTCTCTCTCTCTCTTTAAATTACATTCCATAGAAGGTACCTATTTTAAAACTTTTGAGTCACATAAACTTAATTCATGGGGGATCTTTTTTTGTTTTTGTTTTTATCATATCAAAATACATCTCACATGTTTAGTGTTGTCGACCTACACATTTATTTTACTATTGTATGTCGGGCAGAAGCAGAAGAGTAATGCAAAGTCACAGTTTGGAAATGTGTGAGTGATGAGATCGTAATGTTTTTTGACGTCGGTATGTGGTTCCCGAAATTTTTCACTCGCAAGATAAAAAGGAGGGAATTGTGGTGGGGGAGGGGGGCACGTACATTACTGAACGGTTCTGCCGCTTGTGATACTTCCAAATTCTTTAAAATTTTCAGATCGGTGGTTGCACCGGAGACGCGGCGTGCTCTCAGCCTCGTGTCCTCTACGGTGCCGTTCAGGAACTAACAAGGACCGTCTCCTGGCGCCATTCGATAAGTTGGTGAGTGTCTTTAATCTTTTCCCTAGTTTTTGCAAAAGCATTATCGTTTTGGTCGTTGGTTCTGTTGTCATTAGTGAGTTGTTTGATTTAGCTTCAAGTTTGGGATTCACTGATATTCTCCGAGTATTCGTTTAACAGCATCCATGTGGTGGGGTGTATCGTATATTATTCATATCTTATGTTGGGTCCCTAATGTTATCGCTCTAAACACTTAATCGTACTCACTGATATAACTAGACACATCTGCCGCTTGTTTTAATTTCTCTCTTTTCTATTTTCAGATGGGTGATTGCGCACGTGCACGTAGGTGCGGCCTCTGCCTGTGTCAAAGCTGTGGGAACTACTGCCTGCCTCGTAACTTCAAGGGCACCGTTCATGGACCATGACTATACTGCGTGTATGCTTGCTGAAGTTGGCGCCACTGGTTTCGGCACGACTCGATGAGGGACAGGAAACTACTTCTGTTCGATGAAGGTTTTCATTAAAAGTTCGAATTTTGACATGCTGTCATGTAAAAATGAACGTTTCAGTGATACTAGATAATCTAGGGGTACTTCAGCCCAAAGGAGGGTGTGGTACGATTCCTAATGTGTGGTTTTAGTGTTACTCCATTTACAATCCTGTGACATGAATCCTTTTTTACGATATACAAAACCATTTTGTCTTTTTCACGTTTTTTCGCCAATACATGCCCCATAGCACCAAAACAGTACAAGATAGAGCAAAACGAACGAACTTTTCGTCAGTAGGGTTCTACTTTCACGAGTTACCCCTTAGGCAGGGATTGAAAACGAAATTAAATTAAATTTTAAAAGGTCGAAATTATGCTATTTTGTATGGTATAAAATTATTCTCGAAATGAAATTAAACCGTAAAATTAATCATTAAATTAAATAATATAATTTCCATTCTTGCGGTGGGAGATTTAATTTCACTCCAATTTCATTTCATTTCCTCGAAACGAAATAATTTAATTTCTATTCTTCCCGTGGTACATTTAATTTCGATTCGAATATAATTTCATTACACGAAATTATTCATTTTACTATTTAATTTAAGTACACGAATGCAGATAGGCAGCCTCTCAAATGAAGTGATGTGAAAGGGACGGCGAGGTATGCCACATATCGAGCTTATCGGGCTCGCGCATTGCCTACCTCTCATGCGACTAATGTGAATGGTGATGGTGCAGGGGTGGTTTTAAGCCGAACCGATGGACAGGGCGATGTTGGGCACGTTGCCTACTCTTTGAGGCGTCTCATCTGGGACCGCCCGGGGAGAGTAAGGTGGGGGGGTGGGGGTGGGGGGGACAGCACCTTTCTTTAAAAATCGTCCCTGTGATGTCGGAGAGGTGGCTGACCTGAAAGAGAGTGGTAGGGGGTGAAGCGCCTTCGTCAGCAACGATAGGCAAACATGCCTGCATTTCTGCATGTAGTACCGGGTGTTCCGATGTCTGCGACAAAACGAGCGGGTGTGCCTGCTCTAGGGGGTCAGGGCACCTACGGGCAGAACCCAGTGTGGGTCTCATCCGAACACGCGCTGTTTTAAGTCCGTCTAACGGAGGGGGCGATTGACTTGTGGGTTGCCTATATTGAGGGGTTCTGTTGGATATATATTGCCTACCAACCGTGATCTAGGCCGACGGGGGGGGGGGGGGGCCCGCTATAAAACCGCGCTTGCAGCTGAATAGATCAACCTCGCCCGTGGCGGAGGCCGTTGGGTCGACAACTTGTGTACTCCTCTTTCGCAGAGGGTTACAGTACACAGTGTACTCCAAGTGTACTCATTCTGTACTCCGCTTGTGTCAAGCATGTGCACGGGCATGTGCATAACCCTACGTAGCTTTACCCTGGACACCCAAATGTGTGAACAACATATTGGTACACATAAAGGCACGAGTGTTTAAAATTTTAAAGTAAAATCGAGTAAAATGCACAGTTTTAGTCCTTGAGGTGTACAAATGGGCACTCACTAGCACTCCCCCTCCCCTGCCTGCGGTGACTTAGC